CCCTTCTCTTTCCATACATCCTCCACAAAATCCATAACCTGACTATACCCCAACTCAGGATACGTAACCTGTGGCGGGCCGTACAATATCCCAGGAGTCCGTCAGGACTCCTGGGCCCTGAATCAAGCAATTATAAGATACGTCAGACAGTGAAGGCCAGTTCACCGCCTTCCTAATTAGCCTACGACAGTATCAGTCTTCCCACCCATCGCCTAGCACACCGCCTACTTACGTAAGTTAGCTACATATCCAAGCTCTGTTTGCTCCAAGAACTGTAACCTATCTCCTGCCCACCGTTTTATACACCGCCTTTTACACCGCCTACTTCACTTAGCCATCCTCTTTATGTTTTGCTTATCGCCTAAATACTACCTACCCGGTCAATCCACTACACTTTGGCAGCCCTCGTTGGGATGGAGATCGGCCTATCCGTTGGCTTAAGAGTAGTTCCTAAGTATCAATCCTACTCCGACAATAGTAAAGAAGCAGTCAGTTACAAAAGAGAAAATAGTGATACCAGTGTGGAAGCAAGGAGATTGATGTAAATAGATAAGATAAGGTTATGGCCTAGCGCATGCCCCCAACCTCACCTTGGTTCTTCTAAACCAAGGTCCTCGAGAGGGCAACTTTCTCTCGCCATCTACTGTACAGTACAAACTTGGCCGGCCGGGCCCCCTGAAGGTTGCAAACCCTGCCTGCACCCTCTGCTCTCACACTACGCTTGTAAGACGCTTCACCGCGTTCCTGATGGGCCTAGAACAATACCAGTCTTCTCACCGACCGCCTAGCACACCGTCTACCTAGATTTACCATTCTGAGTATCCTTGCCCACCGTCTTCGTACTGTCTTCCTTGTTGGTTTTTGACTGTAACTGTCTCCTGCCCACCGCGTTTACACCGCCTACTTAGCCTAGCTGTCTTTACACGTATTTTTCACTGACCGCCCAAATACCACCTAACTTACCAAGCTCCACACCACCACGGTCAATCAGTTAGGCGGCCCTCAGCTAATCCGGCCGAAGACCACTTTCTCTGTACTTCCCTTATACGGAAACGGTCTAAGGCAGTCCAAATGTTAGCTACATATCAATTCTACCATTCAAGCTGTCTTGACACTTCCGAAATGTGTAGATGGGTTGGAACAAGGATAGAACTGCAAATGCAGCTGCCGCACAGGCCACTATACTCGTGGATATATCACACAACAGTGTAAAGAGAGAAAGATCGTGGAGCAGCCGCGGCTGGGCACAGGGCTGTCGTCTACCTCGTCGAGCAGCAGGCCGATAAGGAGGCGAAGGATAATGAGGACCGGAGGCCGCTCTACCATACCGCCGCGGCCGGGCACACGGCCGTCCAATACCTCATCATGTAGGGGGCCGAGCTATTGAACTAAGAAATCATAGGCACCAGGACTCGAATTCATCTAAACCACCTCTCCACCCACTTCCTGACGATTGAAGCCTCATTGTGTGTGAGATTGTAGCCTCCACAAAGCGGGACGGCGTTCATCAGCAACGGAAGCCAAGGGTGTCAGCGATAAAAGCAGCAGTAGCACAATGCCACGTCATGTCGCAACAGCCAATTGGCATTAGCCGCAGCGCAGCCACCTGAGAGCAGGCTAATGCAGACTTCACCAATTGCATCGACCTGCACCGAGTGCTCGCAGCGCCACAACTCCGTCTTGGGCGTCCGCCAAGCGGGACAGCTGCATCTTTCAGCTCCGCTCCGCGGCAACCGCGCGAAATGCAGCCGCCAACTTCACAAAATCGCTGCTGTTGCGATGGCCTCTTTTTTCCTGGATAAATATCCTCGCTGAAGCTATACACGTGAAAGAAATTATGGATTCGCTGAGGAGGTGGTTAAAAAAGCCTTCTGGACGTCATGGTGCAACCTCGCCCGCTCCATCTGCCACACACTCCACAAGTACGTTGAGACGAGCGCTGGATTGCCTTGTCAAAACTGACATGTCCAACAGACGGACCAACAACACCTTCTGGCACCACGGTAGAGGCGGGTAGTCCTACCCCCGCGCCCGGCGACCATGATGACGTACACCGATCCAATATAGACGCAAGAACAACAGCGCATCACCAGCCAGCCGCTACGTCGCAAGCTCCACCTCCCGCACCATCCATTGAACCCCGAGCCGAGCTAAAAGCGATCGAGTCCGCATCAGAGCAATTGACTCCTGTCCTTCCTACGTCCCAGCGACTCTGGGACGCCGCATACAACTGCCTCGCGGAGGACAAGGACACCGCAAAGCTTGTCGAGTCGTACATGGAAACCCTGGACAGAGTTCTAGGGGACAGGACTGGTAAACCCGCCGTCGACGTTTCCGCAACACTGAAAGACCCGAGCCAGCGGCAGGCGCACATGAGAAAGCTGGTAGAGGAAGGTCAAGCAAAGATTTCCAAGCTGTCGAAGATCACGCAGGGAGTCGGGGATGCCGTCCAATTCGTTCTCTCAGCCAAGGCCATGGTCGACTTGGCGATCCAGAATATACCGCAAGCAGCGCTGCCGTGGGCTGGTGTTTGCATTGGACTGCAGGTACGTATCCGTACACGGCCGCCCAATAGTTGTGTTGGTTAACCTCCATCCAGATCCTGCTGAATCCTGCTGAAGCAATAGAGTCCAACCTGGCGGGCATCGTGCATGTTATCTCCCGGATGGACTGGTATTGTGCCTTGACCGAACATATCCTAAGCCAGAACAACATTGTGGTAGGGAAGGAGAGCTTCAAGTCTGTCCAGCTTCAGTTGGAAAACAGGATCGTTGAGCTCTACAAGGCTCTCCTTCTGTATCAGATGGAGAGCGTTTGCTCTTTCTACCGGCATAAAACCTGGATCGTTCTCCGTGGCCTTGCGAAGGTCGACGACTGGGATGCCTATCTGAAGAGTGTCACAGATACCGAGGCAACTCTTCAGACTGATCTGAATCAGTTTAACAGTCAGCATACCAAGAGCCTCCTAGGGAAGCTTGTCGAGAAAGCGGAAGAAAGGAAAGCGCTACTTGGAGATATTCATCAAGCTCTTCAAAGCAGCATCGCTGTGCAAGAGAAGACCCACAAAGCTGTCCAGGATGGCAACACTCTGCGCAAGGAGATTCACCGAGATGAGAAGGATACGCAATGCCTCCAAGACCTCCGCCTAACCGACCCGCGCGACGACAAGAAGCGCATCCAAAACACGAAAGGTGGCCTGTTACGAGACGCGTATCACTGGATCCTTGACAACACTGAATTCCAACAATGGCGCAATAGCCTGGACAGCAACCTGCTCTGGATCAAGGGCGATCCCGGCAAGGGCAAGACAATGTTACTCTGCGGTATTATCGATGAGCTGCAGAAATCGACTTCAGGAACAAGCCCTCTATCATT